TTATATATTATATGCTTGAATATATTATTTTTCTTAATTGGATCTATTGGGTCCTTAAGCCGACAATGTTTACCTCTGAGAGAATTGGTTGGTTTAAATGCTGCTACCTTGACTAATTTTTTTTTAAAATTTTTGATTATAGCTTGATTCCACACCGTATTTTTGATACAAGTATGAAATTTTCAGCATGTGGTATCGGTAGCCTAAATTTTGCAGGCCAACCATAGATATCAGGTGTGAGTCGGCAGGGGGTCGAATCCCGGACCATTTGCATGGTCGGCGAGAGTCCTAACCGCTGTGCCACCGACGCGAATCCTACGTAAGGCCTTTGACGTCACTTCTTTATACGCAGTGCTACAGAGGCTTTGAATTCTATGTTATCTTCGTTATTATTGTCACTTTTATCGCTAGTCTTAATTTTTCAATGGATCTGCATACATTTCTGAGCATATTCTGATGCGTAGTTATTCACCAGTAATATTTTCTTTATTCGTTTAATTTCATTATTCAAATCTTGTAGCTTGCTAGTTAGGCTCCAGGCCTGTTCATACAGACATTTAATGGGAACTATTTCTACCGATCCTGGATTGGATGAGTTAAATTCTAAGTACCTACCCAGCAGTGTACCGGTTTCCTGTAAATGCTAGTCTTTAACCACCCACCATCTTATTCTTGTTTTATTCTTCCGTGTACTACTGCCGACTCACCTTGTTCATAACTGAAGATTTGAAATAATAATTTGAGTTTGAAATGAAGGTTAGGAGGTGTGAATATAGATTACAAAAGCCTTAGAAACACAAAAATTGCACAGGATTAGGATATAATTGTAAAATGGTTATTTCAAACGAATTATAAATGTGAACAGGAAAAGCATGGAAACAAAGTTAAAATAACTGTTTTTATAGCTGAAAAAAAATTAGGTGGATCTAATGAAGACTTAGTCCCTCAGACTAAGGATCAGACACACAGCGAACCAAAATTTTGTTTCCATGCTCCTCCTGATCACACTTGTAATCCGTTTAGAATAACCATTTTACAGTTATATTCTAATCCTGTGTAATTTTTTGTTTCTACGCCTCTTGTAATCTTTATACACACCTCTTTATACGCAGTGCTACAGAGGCTTTGAATTCTATGTTATCTTCGTTATTATTGTCACTTTTATCGCTAGTCTTAATTTTTCAATGGATCTGCATACATTTCTGAGCATATTCTGATGCGTAGTTATTCACCAGTAATATTTTCTTTATTCGTTTAATTTCATTATTCAAATCTTGTAGCTTGCTAGTTAGGCTCCAGGCCTGTTCATACAGACATTTAATGGGAACTATTTCTACCGATCCTGGATTGGATGAGTTAAATTCTAAGTACCTACCCAGCAGTGTACCGGTTTCCTGTAAATGCTAGTCTTTAACCACCCACCATCTTATTCTTGTTTTATTCTTCCGTGTACTACTGCCGACTCACCTTGTTCATAACTGAAGATTTGAAATAATAATTTGAGTTTGAAATGAAGGTTAGGAGGTGTGAATATAGATTACAAAAGCCTTAGAAACACAAAAATTGCACAGGATTAGGATATAATTGTAAAATGGTTATTTCAAACGAATTATAAATGTGAACAGGAAAAGCATGGAAACAAAGTTAAAATAACTGTTTTTATAGCTGAAAAAAAATTAGGTGGATCTAATGAAGACTTAGTCCCTCAGACTAAGGATCAGACACACAGCGAACCAAAATTTTGTTTCCATGCTCCTCCTGATCACACTTGTAATCCGTTTAGAATAACCATTTTACAGTTATATTCTAATCCTGTGTAATTTTTTGTTTCTACGCCTCTTGTAATCTTTATTCACACCTCCTAACTCTTATCTCAAGTTGTAAATTTTGATTTCAATTTGTTTCCATGCTCGTTTTGTTCAAACCTGTAATTGGTTCTATCCTTGCATTTCTAAGCCTCTTGTAATTCATATCAAGTTGAAAACAATTATCACCTTTTATTCGCCTTTAAAATTATTTATTTCTCCAGTTATCAAATATTAATTTTTTGCATACGTTGTAACTATTTTCTAATCCTATGAAATCTTGTCTTTAAGCCCCTTGTAATCTATATTCCCACCTTGAAACTTTCATATCAAGTTGAAAATTATTATCACTTTCGTCACTATGTGGAATTAAACAAATAATAATTGTATCCATGTAAACTAATGTGTATATAAATGCGATTGTACAGGTGCTTTTGAGAATGAAATCGCCGAAAAGATCGCCATCTTTGCTGAACTACTTGCTCTTTTTTTTTCTAATGTCCATATAATTATTTTCCACGAACTGAAAGCTTGTCTTACTTTCCCGATCCTCGCTGCTTTGATATCCTCGTCAGTTCCGTCCGCCTTTAGTTGAAATGATGCTTCTCAGGTTGGTCGGTAGGTAAAGGAGGTTGTTTCTTTCAGGTTCCTCCCATTTATGCTGGCTGATTGTTGTCTGTTGTTGCTGCTGTTGGTGTTGGCCAGGAATCTTCATCACCTCTGTTTTCTCTATATTCACCTGAAGTTCTGTTTTTGATGCCAGCTCGTTTAGGTCATTGCAGTGTCCACTGCGCCAAGATCGCACCTACCAGTCGAGAGTATTTCTTAATTGGAACTATCGTTGTTGTCGTTGTTATTTCATAAATGAAGATAAAGAATAGACAAATACAATAGGCACGAACGTGTACCAGTAACTCTAGGACTGTGCTTAGTCTGAACAAGGCAGCAAAGCCTCACTAAATAACATTAAATCCCTCCCACCCAACCGATAGCTGCTACTTTGACGTGGTGGTCACCAGACTTGCATATCACAATGACCCGACAAGCCACACTGGTTGGAACTAATGTTCCTGTGTTACGCCCTGAAGCATGATTGTTAGGATTGCGATTAAACGAAAAGTAGTTATTGGCATTCCATTATAGATAAGATTTTATTTTGATAAATCGCACAGTGTTTACAGTTATATGAACTGATGACCACGTTTCGAGCACAAACTATTGCTCATAATCATATCAAGTTACTCACACAACTTTGATCTCTCATTTATATACATATGTGGAATGGATTAGATATTGGATTAAAAATCAATGTGAGATAATGTACATTCAGAAATAATCGTACGAGTGTTGTTGATCAATTGCAATTAGATGGGAAAATTGGACGAGTGTTTTTACAGTCATAATAAGCTGCTTGTTAGAATGTGTTTGAATTGAAATAGAATTTTAAGATTATTTATTATCTTCTTCTGGTTTGACTGATGGCATCAATACGAGTGTTATTGATCTACTATAATCAGATGGAAGATACGACGAGTGTTTTAATAGTCATAATAAGTTTTTTGTTAGGATGCTGTGATGTGTTTGAATTGAAATAGAATTTTAATATTATTTATTACCCTCTTCTGATTTGACCTGCAGTAATAGTATCTTCCATATCTCTGGTATTTGCATTGAGTCATTTTTGTTGCATGTGTTGGGTGTAGACTCGATGAACAAGGATTCAGTAATCAACCTCTCTCTCCACTTAGCTATATTACTTTTTAGAATTTTAACCCTATCCCACCATGCTATTGTGTGGTTGTTTGTTATTGCATGAAGTGCAATAGCTGAGCTTTTTTCTAAATTACTTATCCTTTCAGGGTCAACCATTCTTACCTCAGCCACTAAATTCTTATGTTCTGTTAATCTGACTATCCCTGACCTACTAGTTTGACCTATGTATTTGACCTCACAGTTATTCATTAGGAAGATCAGCAAAAACCAAAAGCAAAATAAAAATAATGGTGAAACTATTAATGATAACACAAATAAGAAAGAATATAAGTCATCCACTGTTATACCCCATATAAGGAAAGCACATCTGAGGCCCTACGTAGGATTCTTAATAAAGCAGGAATTAGGGTGGCATTCAAACCTACAAACTCACTCAGGTAGGACAAGCTCTGTAGGCTAAAAGACCTGGTGGATCCAATTAAACAAAATAATATAATTTACAAAATACCCTGCAATAACTGTGAGTTAAGTCAACTACATAGGTCAAACTAGTAGGTCAGGGATAGTCAGATTAACAGAACATAAGAATTTAGCTAAGGTAAGAATGGTTGACCCTGAAAAGATAAGTAATTTAGACAAAAATCTCAGCACTGCATTGCACTTCATGCAATAACAAACAACCACACAATAGCATGGTGGGATAGGGTTAAAATTCTAGGAAGTAATCGATGTAGGTGGAGAGAGAGAGAGATTGATTACTGAATTCTGACTGGTTCATTGAGTCTACACACAACACACCACATGCAACAGAAATGACTCAATGCAAATATCAGAAATATGCATGGAAGATATTATTACCACCAGTCAGTTAAATCAGAGGAGGATAATAAATAATCTCAAATTGTATTCTGTTTCAATTCAATTCACGTACATCACAACATTCTAACAAGTTACTTATTTATTATGACTGTAACAGCACTCGTCTTATTTCCCATCTGATTGTAATTGATCAATAACACTCGTATTATTATTATTTCTGAATGTACATTATCCTATACTGGTTGATTTTTATTCACATATCTGGTCAATTCCGCTCATGTATAAAAATGAAGGAAAAAGTTGTGTGAGTGAGTGACTTGATATGATTATGAGTGGCAATAGTTTGTGCTTGAATCGTGGTCATCAGCTAATATTACTGTGTAACACCACTGTGTGAGACTTTATCAAAATAAAATCTTATCCATAATGGAGTTAATTTGGGAAATATTATGAGTTAGGTTAAGGCTAGATTAGATTTAGGAATCCATATTTGCCTTTTTCGCTCAACTGCTTGCTCCAAGTTGCAGAGGTGCATCTGCACCTCTGAGGTGTCTAATCTTTAATTTTAGTATTTTTGTATGTGCCTAAGTCTTTCCATACGCACACAGAATACAGAATAATGTTTGTTCATTTTCTTGTTGTATACCTAATTTTTTTATCTAGGCTAACACATAATGGGTATAATTTACAAGAAATTGATTCTATGCTTGAAAAATTTGATCGAACATTGAATATCGAAGAGATAGTGTCATCAGTGAAAAGTCTTTACCCTTCACTTCGTCGTCCACTACCATCACCATCAATGATGAATAAGATGAATAGTCAGGCTGAAGTCATTCCAACAGCTCCACCTATCATGTGTAGCAGTAGTTCTGCTGTTGCCAATAACAACACATCTATATTTACATCTACAAGTTTAATAACCAATATGAACTTGTATCAACCTGTTGATAATTATTGCCATGGTGATAATAATGATAATCAATTACCAATTAATAATAATGATGATGATAGTGAAAATAATTTGGCGGAGAACAACAGTTTTAATGCTGAGACTACGACAACCACTCTTGAGGAATATGATCAAAGTGAGCACTGGCTCACTCCTACAGGGTGAGTTGTTCCTATTGGTTTTTGTGCTTTCTGTGGGTATGTTTTTTTTTTTTTCATTCAATCTATGTGCTGCGTGTATTTGTTTATCTTGTATCTATGTAGAAGATGGTAGTTAATTGAATTTTAATGATGTCCACCGTTCAAGGTTTTATTTTATTTTATATTGATCTCCTACATCTTATGTTGATGAAGTCACGTGTGTCCTTTATGTGCGCACGCGCGTGTTTTTCTCTTGTTCACTGTTGTTGTTGCTGTTTTTTCATTATATTATTGTTGTTGTGTTTTACTTCTTTTTGTGTTTCATGATGTATAGGTGTTGAGTGGTCGTTCGTGTGTGTGTTTGTGTGTAGATATGTAGGTATCTACATAGTCGAGTGGTTCACGCGTGTATCTGGTGTTTGCAAGTAGAGTTAGTCAATCAGGCAGTAGTCACCTTTTCAAATTCTGAATGATACCTTGGCATATATTGTGCTTCTGTGTACGTGACTGTATCTGTGTGTAGGAGTGTGTGTCCGTATGTGCAAGCCAGCTAGCGTGTGTGAGTAACTGAGTGTAGAGTATTGAGCACCTAAGTGAGAATTTTTCTTTCCTTCACGTTCCCCAGTGGAACATAGGGCTTCAAGCTAGTGGCTTGAAATTTCTGTAGCAGTGGGGTTTATTTTTTGCAGGATGGGGTTGCTAGCCAGCGTCATACCCAACCTTTCCTCTTTACCAGTCTTACTGCTTACTGGCTTAGCGAGGTAAAGGAGTGAGTTGGCGGCCGGGGATCGAACCTCAGACCATGTGCATGGTTGGCGAGCATCCTAACCGCTGTGCCACCGACAAGAATTGGGGTAAAACAAAGGCAACAACAAGAATAGTTTTTATTAAGTTTGACCACAGATTGACCGTTGGAAAACCAACAGTGAGTACTCGACAGTTCTTTCGTCCTAGTTTGAGACTCTTCATCAGTACGAACCCACCACAACTAGGTTCTAACCCAGGACCTTGTGGTTACAAGGCGAGCTAGCCCGTAGATCATTAAGCCAATGGACCTGATCCAATGGCCAGCCCATGAATTCTAACTCCAGTGCTGGTTTTCAATGCTTCTCTAACTGATATCATTCCGTGATGAACTCGTAAAAACAAAACTAACCCTTACAAAAACCAAACTATAGAAAATTAATTTAGTGACTCGCTAGTGACTTGCTACAGGATGGAGTTTCCTGGAGGAAGTTCTAGTGAGAAGTCGTGGCCAATGAGGTCCATCCAGATGTTGTCACATGTGAGGATGGATGTCCCACCTACGACAATGGTTGGGGTCGCGCTAAATCACGAATTGGTAGAAGTTAGAATTCATGAGCCATTGAATCGAGTCCCAGTGGAATGTTCTAGGTTCGAACCCTGGAGGTGGGTACGTACACCAGATGATTCCCTAACTAGGATGGAGGAAACAGCTGTCTAGCAGTACTCCCTGTGGCTGGTTTTCAATGGTTTCCTAACTGATATCAATCCGTCATCAACTCGTAAACACAAAAAGTAACCCTAACACACCAAACTATAGAAAAGTGTGAATTCATAAAATAATAACAGTAGTCTGAAATGCAATTAAAGTAGAATCCAACGAATATGCACTGAAGACACACTTGACGAGGAAGAAAGGAAGTTGACACAAACTCTGGTTGATAACAATTATCCAGACAAGTTCATCAGAAGATATAAAGTAGTCAGTGGAACACCAAGACCCACTCTACAACTCGCCCATAAGAAAGACATATACATCAAGCTACCTTATATAGGGCATCATACCAGCTTGATAACTAAACAAAGACTGAACGCTGCAGTTAAAAAGACTTTTATGCAGCTAATATCACAATAATAATAATTGATAATGTGAAGCCAATATATTCATCCATCTAAGCACTTTGAACATGCGAAAAAGGATGTCACATCACACTGTATTTACCAATTTGAATGTACGTGTGGACACACTTACATAGGAGGGAGGACTCATCGATCTCTGCAAGTGAGTAAGGGCTGGCTTCACAGCATATTCTTAAATGGCTCCAGAAACAAATGGAATCTTCAGAACCCATTAATTGGTGAGAACAGGAGACCTAGCTCTTCTATTGAGAAACATATTATAGAGACAGGACATAAAATTGACTCTAACAGATCTTTTAAACCTATCTGTAGAACGTGTTTGGGGCGTATCCTTAAGTTTGTTGATGCCCTAGCTGGCGATTAGAAAGTTTAAACCATCTCCATGCGTTCAAAAACAATTCGTCATTATATATAGAATAGTTTAATAGAATATATAGATCTTGGAAAGGGATGTACAATTTAATAAGACTAAATGAGATTAGTGGCTAACTAAGTCCACTACATAACATGTGTGAGAAGTTTGATAACACTGCAGAAACAACATATTGATTTAAAATAATAAATGAAGCAATTACGATAAATAATATCATTTATGTACAAGGTAGATATAGGGACGACTGGTACATACTTCTTCTTTCTTTTGTACACAAAGGTCTGGTGTAAATTCATAACCAGCTAACGTCTCTGTTATCTTGAGAAATTTCTTAACGAAGAAAGTGCAGTAGAAAGTTGTTAGCATGAATTTTGTTAATTTTGAAATCATAGTCAAAGCTAGTTGGGTTGTAGAAGTTTGATAAAGTATTATTCTGAAATAGGGATTCTCTCTCTCTCTCTCACACACACACACACACTTCCTTTCTCTCCTGTAAAACCATACTCTCGTATTTGTTTGTGGAAGGCTTTCTCTGGCTACCACTTGCCTTTCAACAACAGATAGACAGATAGATTCATATAATTATATTCATAAATATTTTCTATAGTTTGGTTTGTAAGGGTTAGTTTTGATCTTACGAGTTGATCACGGATTGATATCAGCTAGAGAACCATTGAATAACAAGTCGTGGCCAATGAGGTCCATCCAGATGTTGTCACGTGTGAGGATGGACGTCCCACCTACGACAATGATTGGGTCGCGTTAAATCACGAATTGGTACAAGTTAGAATTCATGGCCTGGCCATTGAATCGGCCACGTCCTAATGGCGAAATGGTATACAAGCCAGCTTACCTTGTAACCGGAAGGTCCTGGGTTCGAACCCTCTGTGGTGGGTGCGTAAACCCGATGATTCCCAAACTAGGATGATACAGCTGTCCAGTATTCCTCGCTGTTCTCTAGCTGATATCAATCCGTGATCAACTCGTTAAAATCGTAAATAGTCCTCTAGATTTACATTATTATTACTATTATCCTCTCATATTGATTAAATTTCTCAAAAATCCTATGCATAAGATTGTACAACTTGATAATAAATTCGTTGAAGAGTCTCTTCGTGCTAATGTCTTTCAGGACTAACGGAGATTTTTTATCTAAAAATGTGTGTCTAAAACCAATTCCAAACCTTATATTCCACCTCAAAATTGTTTTTCCCTAAATTTGAATACTAGTTATGCTAGATGATCACTAACACTCCTATGCGTAACATGGAGTTTTTCTTACAACTTTTGAAAGTGCAGAGCCTTTTTTGTTTAGTATCTTGACATTTCTTTAAAACATTTTTTTCTCTCATGAATATACCCTTTTTTTGTCATTTATACTAACTAACTAACCTTCTTTACTGCGATTGGCTGCCTCAAGGTCATTCAGCTGGTCAGTCGGTCGAACACACGTGACCGCCTCAATTGCTATTGGCTAGATTCACTGAGTTTATACGCTTAATATTATTACCTGGTATAAATAAATTGTGCTACGATGTATCATAATGTCAAAAGTTTAACAATACAATCAATCATTGAGTGGATGATGATAGTGTCGGGATTAGATGTATGTTAGAAAGTTGGAGAAAATCTTCAGGATGCCTTGCCGGGAACTAGGTTTCATGCTTGCCGACACTCACCAGTCTGCAAGGTATATTTTCAGTCTTCAATCAAAGGAATAATGGTATCCCTTGTGTGAGACTCGAGCTCATGTCACCCAGTGATTCAGTCAAAGACCACTGAACTATTCGGGCTGGTGACTGACCTACTGTACCACCTCAATGGATAGTTTGATTAGAAATCGGGCAGTAAATAAAAATTGGGCATTCTTTAAGTTTACGAAACTGTATCGATGGTGTTTATAGTTTAGGTAGACGTCACACCTCTTAGCCATATCGGTAGACTCTTCTTTTTTAACTTTCCAAGAATAACAAGATTTATTGTCATCTTTTCTATGTCATACTCAGTCTGTAGCCAGTCCTATTCAAAAGTTATTGATTATCTTGACTAAGCTATACACAAACACGAAGAATGAATGTAATCTGCTCCACTCACTGACATCGATTTTTTTTAAACCGTGTTACCAATAGTCTCCAGGCATTAGTTTATTAGCATCCTGAGGAGTTCAGGCATGTAGTCTATACCATTTAAGTGGCTTAACCCATAGTTTCAAAAAGACTTCATGGAATCGATACTGTGTTTGTTTTGACTCGATGACTAATCCAAACTCATTTTCCAACCAAATTTATATCTCAACCAACACATTGCTGGCTAACGAGGAATGGTATGTGTATCATATGTGTCCAAACGTCACAGTTTCATGTACTGACTTTCCCTCCTTACCTAACACTCTATATACGCTGACTGAAACCAAAAAGTATTTCAGTCTCAATATACTGGCAACCAATCGATACATTCGTCTGAAAAGAGTTGACCGAAATTCCACGAGTAGTGACGCACGCACACTCCAAAATTTCATTAATATTTAAAAAAGACAATTCGATATGATAGAATCTGTGTTACTATTGAACAATAATAATTATTATTGTTCCCTTGGGTTCCTAGTGGAACATAGGGCTTCAACTGAACGTCTCCACTTGCCACTTCTGTCTTCCTTCTGCTGTACTTTTCACCTGAATCCATGTTAGTCCATACTGACTGTTTCAACTCCTCCTCCTCTTCACACGATCTCCTCCATGTCACCCTTGCATTGACGTCCCACTCG